TGTGAGGCGTTCAACACAGATTTTCACTCGATAAACACTGAGCGCTTGAGTTTCGCTCTCCGTCAAGCGATCTGTACAATTTGGATGCGCTCAATGGATCATGTCGTGTACTCAGTGGATGCGCAGTATGTAGCACGCAGCGCACCTGTATTTGACGTACCGTAAACTAGAGTGAAGGCGCATGACTCGCCGTCGCTTTACTGATAGAGCTGTGTTTCTCACACATGCAAAGAGAGAGAGCGAGAGTCTTGCACACCACGCTGAATCGACGCGCTACATGTAAACCATATTCTTTGTTGTATTTTCCTGTCAAAATAACAGAGTTCATTTAGAATTATTCAGCTTTTAAGAACAAGCAGAAGATAAGCCGGTTTCTCCGGCAGTGGGCGGAGCTAATGCGCGAACAGCTCTCGTTGGCTGGCGCTCATCTATTACCGTCCCTGTTCTGATTTCAGCAAATCAGTTCCAGCGAACGCTGACAACGTGATTAATATTCATGAACCCAGGAGATAATAGTAATAGTAGTAGTAGTAGTATCTTTTTATAATAATTACTATTACCTATGACCAACGATATCTTAAACACCACCACCAGTCTTAAGTTCAGTTAAAATGACAAATATGCATTCATTCATGGTTACCAAGTTTTAGTTCTAATCACTAGTTCTATCATTAAATAGTGCTTAATTATCATAATATCATAATATAATGCTTGATTGGCTGAAGTTAAGAGTGCACATTCAGTTATTTAAGAAGCTGTTCCATTTTACAAAGATAAGCTGATTGGGTGGAATCGTGTGTGTGTGTGTGTGTGTGTGTGTGTGTGTGTGTGTGTGTGCCTACTTAACCATATTTTGGGGACAAATTTGTACCCAAAAGTGAGCAAAACCTGACAAAATCGGCAAAAACCTCAATTTGTGGATGTCCTCATTTGTATAACTGTTATAAAAATAAAGTAAACAGTTTTTTTTTTAACGTTTGAAATTGTAAAAATGCAGAAAGTTTTCTGTGAGGGGTAGGGTTTAAGGGTGGGTTTAGGTTAAAAAGTGTATAACTATCTGTATATAAAATCAATCGAAGTCTATGTAATGTCCCCATTTAGGTGTGTGTGTGTAAAATAGTATATCAGTCTGGAGAGTGTAAACAAAAATTTACTAGCCAATGGCGATTATATTGCCAAGGTGTGCGTAGAGGGTTGATTTATAAACTGTCTATTCATTTTACTCTTAACTTCAGTATTCACAATTATATGGTTTGTTGCAATTTATTATTTGCGTAGTCATAAGAGTTGAGAACCGCTGTATGTTATGCCATATCTTCAAAGCGTTACAGATGTAAGGTTTCTGGAGATTGAGTGTTCATCATAATACAGTTCATTCAGATGAAGCCAAGTGTGTTTTTTCGTGCATTTATCATTAACGGCCCTGAACTCTTAATGAACAGAGCTACAGATGCACACGTCACCGGGTGTTAAACATTCTCCTCTCTAATAAGAGGATCCTGAATTGGAGATTAAAATCGGGATGTTTGATCTGATTGAGGTTTTCTAGGCAGCAGCTGTGATCATGTCACTAAAGCCAGTGTACTGCTTCTGTGTATCCACATGAGGGCAGTGTGCCCCTTCTAGCATACTGTACAGAAATGCTCAATGCAGAGCGTCTATACCAACATCCAAAATATTAGCCTTTCTACTGAAATATAAATGGAGCATTACACCATTTTACCTGCCATGTAGAAAATGCATTTTGCCATAAAAAAGCAAGAGGTTTTAATTATAATAAATGCGTATTATTTCATGTGCATCTCTTTCTGGTGTACGTTATGTGCTTATGCGATATCCCATTTTGGTGTTCACATCAAATTAAATTCACAAAAGGGATTTTATATACACTACCAGTTGAACCGTAAGATTTTTAATGTTTTTTTTTTTAAATAATTCTCTTCTGCTCACCAAGCCTGCATTTATTTGATCTAAAATACAGCAAAAGTAGTAATATTGTGAAATATTTTTACTATTTTGAACAGCTGCTTTCTATGTGAATATCTGTTAAAATGTAATGTATTTCTGTGATGTGCAGCTGTATTTTCAGCATCATTACTCCAGTCTTCAGTGTCACATGATCTTCAGAAATCATTCTAATATGCTGCTTTGTAGCTCAAAAAACATTTATTATTATTATTATTATGTTGAAAACAGCGGAGTAGAATTTTGTCAGGTTTCTTCGATGAATAGAAAGTTCAGAAGAGCAGCATTTTACGGAAGTCCTAAGAGGCCATGGATTATTCATATTTTTTCTTGTTTTCTCATGATCTGGACATAACAAAAGTTGTTCTCCAAGTTACACAACTGTGCCAGCGGGTGGCAGTATAGACCTGATTATAACTGATGTTGTATACTGTATATCCTCTTTACTGTACGCGTTTGGGACAGAATTAGGACCTTCTTCGTGATCGCTATAATTTGTGCATTATTGTTCATTACTGACATTTAATTAATTCATAAATGTTAAATGCTTGTATCAATATTGTTATTTTGTGTATCAAGTTCTTGCTAGATGCATCAGTTTCACCACCGAACTCTGTTTCATAAACGAACTGCTTATTAAAACCAAGGTTGACGTCACTGTATTCTGTTTGCACCTATATCTTTATTTGTGCTTCTTTGAAGTACATGATTGTTAGTTAATAAGCGGGGATGTTGTTAATCTAGGACGAGCTTCAACAACGTATTTGTAATGTGCATCTTATTTTTAATCTTTATTGTTAATCATTAAATGTATATTGATAAGAAATGTAATTTATATGTAAAGTGTATAGGCTCATTTAATCAGTGATGTTCTACAGTGTTGTAATCTTTTGTATTTTCTACATTTCTTTGTGGAAACCACACATACATACACACACACACACACACACACACACGCACGCTCTCTCTCTCACTCACTCGCTCGCTCTCGCGCTCTCTCTCTCTCTCTCTCTCTCTCTCTCTCTCTCTCTCTCTCTCTCTCTCTCTCTCTCTCTCTCTCTCTCTCTCTCTCTCTCTCTCTCTCTCTCTCTCTCTCTCTCTCTCTCTCTCTCTCTCTCTCTCTCTCTCTCTCTCTCTCTCTCTCTCTCTCTCTCTCTCTCTCTCTCTCTCTCTCTCTCTCTCTCTCTCTCTCTCTCTCTCTCTCTCTCTCTCTCTCTCTCTCTCTCTCTCTCTCTCTCTCTCTCTCTCTCTCTCTCTCTCTCTCTCTCTCTCTCTCTCTCTCTCTCTCTCTCTCACACACACACACACACACACATACAGACACACTCTCAGACTCACACACAGACACACTCACTCACACACACATACAGACACACTCTCAGACTCACTCACTCACTCACTCACACACACACAAACACTCTTTTCAAACAGCATCCCAAGCTTTTAACGCACATGATATCAGTCACAGCATATACAGACACACTCTCAGACTCTCACACACACATGCAGACACTCAGACTCTCACACACACAGACACACTCTCAGACTCACTCACTCACTCACACACACACAAACACTCTTTTCAAACAGCATCCCAAGCTTTTAACGCACATGATATCAGTCACAGCATATCCTACATGACTACTAAAAATTACAAATTATATAACATTTTATTTCAAACAAAATGAAAATAAAGTGAGTTCAATCCAAGCAGCTCTAAAAGATTTTAGAATAGTTCTGCCTCAGCGCTCCGCCTGTGTTTGCGGTGTTGCTTTGACCATTTAAGCATATTAATTACACCAACAAAATGTTTAGCATACGGTCTCTGGAAAAAAATATCAAGTGATTGAGGCTAGTACAGTAAGCCTATCTTATGCGCGTCGCTGCGTTCGTTACTATAGCCACAGTAGATCAAACAAATCAAATCATTGTAAAAAAAAAAAAACTTCCGTTATGTTGAAATCATGAGAAAATATTAAGTTGTGATCAAGTCGTGATAGACATTTTATTTCAAACAAAATGAAAATAAAGTGAGTTCAATCCAAGCAGCTCTAAAAGATTTTAGAATAGTTCTGCCTCAGCACTCCGCCTGTGTTTGCGGTGTTGCTTTGACCATTTAAACATATTAATTACACCAACAAAATGTTTAGCATATGGTCTCTGGAAAAAAATATCAAGTGATTGAGGCTAGTACAGTAAGTCTATCTTATGCGCGTCGCTGCGTTCGTTACTATAGCCACAGTAGATCAAACAACTCAAATCATTGTAAAAAAAAAAAACTTCCGTTATGTTGAAATCATGAGAAAATATTAAGTTGTGATCAAGTCGTGATAGCATTTATCTGAAATAGAAATCTTTTTTTAACATTATAAATGTCTTTATCATCACTTTTTTAATCAATTTAAAGCATCCTTGCTAAATAAAAGCATTAATTTCTATATTTTCTTTCTCAAAAAAAGTATACTGACTCCAAGCTTTTGAATGGTATAATGTGCAAATAAAATGTCAAAAGATGTTCCATCGTCATTCAGTGTTATGTAAAAATGAAACAACATACTTATTCTGACCTGCACTTATTAAAATGTATAAAAGAAAAGGTGATCGAGCTAAATTGTATCGTATTTTAAATGATTAAAAGCTTCTTTTTGACAAATTGGTAAAATCTAGTGGTTTAAAGTATAGTGGCGAAGAGTTAAAATGACAATGAATCAGTATTTGGCAGCTGGAATGTGATCCCTAAATAGTCTTTTAATGTAATCTAATGGTTCTATGAATGACTTTTTACTGATATTCTTCTGAAAATCATGGTAAAAATGTATGATTTATCAGAAAAAAATACAATTAAACGGGACACATTTTAATATAAGGGAAAAAGACTAAATTGAAAGCTGTATTAAACTTTTATTAGTTTTGATGCTTGATGTCTGAAATCAGAAGATTGTGATTTAACCATAATCTGTTCATAGGTTTTGATGTCTTGTTGTGTAACAGTCTTTAGCTCTGGGTTTTCAGTACTCGTCTGTGTGTTTATTCAGGACGACGCAGGAAAACCGGATCGATGTGAGGACTCGTATGTCGTCCCGGTGAGAGCGTTTCCACCGTTCACACATTCAATTAAAGACGGAGCGCAAAACTACATCTTCAGATGTCACTAATCATATTGTTTTTAAAGTGGAGGGACGTAAACATCATTCCATCTCATATGTTTGCGTTCAACC